CAACCTAAAAAAGATACTCGTGCAACAACAATATGGSCCAAAATGATATCGAGCATTGGTAGTACCGACTTTTTTTAGAACCAAACAAAATTCAACTCTTCCACCCCTTCTTCTTAGCAGGAGGTGGAAAAAGAAATATTCACGAACATTAACATTTCACATAAATTTGATGCCTTTTATATGCTCTTGATGCCCCTCAAARTGCTGAAAATCGCATTTCTTAGAGTTATTATTATTTSAAAATTTTCTGGGAGGACCCCCATACCCCACTTATTACTCCGGCCTTGGGCAGTACTGATAATCAATCAATAAATGAAATAAATAAATAGTTCTATTTCATAACTTGCTAAAATAATTAAATAAATAAATAAATATAAATAGACAAACGAGTAAGTAACTAAGTAAATGAACAAGATAAATGAACGAACAAATAGATAAATAAATTAAGAAATAAATAAGAAAATATATAGATAAATAAAATAAGTAAGTAAATACGATAAATAAGATGAAGGAGATAGGAAACGATATAAGTAGAGAGGAGGAACAGTTCAGTAATTGAACGGATTAAAAATAGGTAAAGAAATGTACAAATAGGTACAGAAGGTAGGAGTCCCTTGTAATGTCTATCGTAAAACGTAACGAGCGGTACACAGAAATTGAAATTGCTCAGCCCTACACGATGCAATGTCCTGTGGCGAGATGAATACGTGTGTAGATGAGGGTAAATAAGGTGAGGAACAGTAAGAAGGAATTGTGGCGAGGGAGTGAAACAGGAATCAGAAATCGGAAATCAGAAGTCCGAAGTCGGAAATCAGAAGTCCGAAGTCCGAAATCAGAAGTCCGAAATCAGAAGTCCGAAATCGGAAGTCGGAAGTCCGAAATCAGAAATCCGAAATCGGAAATCAGAAGTCCGAAGTCCGAAGTCGGAAATCAGAAGTCGGAAATCGGAAATCAGAAGTCCGAAGTCGGAAATCAGAAATCAGTTATTAAATTTAATAAAAATAAAATATTTATTATTNAACGTTGAATTATCATATGACCCGTATTTCGGCCCTACGCGCGCTCTTAAAAACCTTTGGGAAATGGTCACGTGATGGGGGACGTACGCCTTTTCGCGATAGGACCGTACAAACCCGTATCTTCCCGGCTGGAAGTTAGTCGATACATCCATCAAAGAAATGGCTTAAAAACCCTGTCATATGATAAAATGCTTATTGACTGAGTTAGGTCGGGCCGTACGGGAAAATATTTGGCTCTCGGTCATTTGTAGGGACCTCGCTGCGCTCGTTCCGTACGGCATAACCTCGAGCCAAATATTTTCCTGTACGGCCCTCCCACTCAGTCAATAAGTACATATAACGTTAGGTGTAGTAGATGACAATGAATAAAAATCTTTAAAAAAAGATCCAGAACCTACATATCACAAAACATAAACTTTTTTAGACGTAGCAACGGGTACTACTTTGAACGAAATGAGAGTGCTTCGTTATCGGGAAACTCTGATTACCAGCAATCAAAACGTCTTTCATCAAAGCCTGATACATAGTCAGTTTACCTTAAACACTTTTCCTTTAAACGCTTCTAAAAGATTGATAACCTAAACAAATTTGAACAGAATGTAGTTCTCTAAGGTCGGCGTTTTCATCCAAAGTGGTTTGGTACAAGCCGTGTACATTACTCCATTTTACAGTTCCAAGCGCCACCTTGAAATGCAGCCAAGTCTGGATATCATCCTTAAAGCAAAACAGAATTTGAGCCAGCAGTGACAGATACCTTTTGGTTCACACCTAAGACAACTATTCACAGGTATCTATTCTTGCAACACTGCTGTCTTGATTTGATACAAAGGCTTGGTTACCTTTCAACATGGCGCTGGGGCTTTATGAGTATGAGAGTCTGCAGTATAGCAGGCATGTAAAATCAAACTTTTAGGTTTATTATAGGGTCGAGGATTTGACATCCTGGTGCYGACACCCCTACTTTGGGTGTACTTGCCATTTTGACGGTTAAGATGACAAAAAACGTAGATTCTTTCTTGTGGTTTTAAACTTTTTCGCGCCAATCTACATTCAAGTACCATCAAAGAAAATTAGCGGAAATATTAAGTAAACAACTAAATTGAGAAATCGGGCATGCATGACCCCATTCCCAAGTTGTAACYGCAGTTCCCTTACCCAGAACTACAAATTAGCGACAATAACCGTAACTTCCTGAGTGAAACAGTTCGCTGTGTATTCATCGTTAATTTAAGCCTTGGCTTGTTTCAATTAAGCTCAGTCGGTTAATCTTTCAATTGCTTACCCGTCGACTGCAAGGATTAACAGGCTTTACAATCAACCTGCTGTTTCGTGTCAAATTATAAGCATTTGAAAATGTGCTTGTAACTCATCAATGCTACTTTGCATACGGGACGTAATTGATTGACAGGTAAACAAAAGCGTTCAAACCAAAATAAGTGTTTTACTTTGAATGGTATAATTTTTAATCCCTGAGGCTTGGGAGTAAAAATTTCTCGGTCTGAAAAATCRTCAACTTTCCATGGGAAGATACAAGAATATATATTTATAACTTACATTAGCAAAACAATTATTATACGGCGAAGCGGTGTTTTTTTTTCAGGATGTCTAGCGATGGAACGACTAGGTTTGCGTGGAAGCGTTTTGAGCGTTTTTCTTTCTAATCTGCCACTTTGTTAATTACGCCCCGTTCAAACGATCACATCAATTTTTATTTCCGGAATTTTCTTTTGTTTCGAATATAACTTCGGATCATACATGTATTCCTATTCGGAGCGTTTTCAAAGATATCTGGAGTCTGCAGACACGTGCCTCATGACACCCATGAACTCAAAAGAAAGAGTTGCGGTTACAAAAATGACCGTCATCTTGGGAATGG